GGGGGGGATGAGACGAGGGGGAAGTAATACCTTTCAATCGTTTAAAAAAAAAAAAAAGGTATTTATGTCTTGGTACCTTACAGCTTATTGCACCAAGCCTAATGATATTTATAAAGTATGAATATATTTAGGCTAAGATCAATAATCTTCACGTGCTGCTTAATTTAGCATATTTATATGCTTCCGTGTTACCGTAAAAATCATGTGACTGTGTTTTTCTTGTTTATTTTTACACAGCCTCGCGGATACTATCTTCTTCTGATATCCGTGGCTGTGTAAACTGTGTTAAAATTTGGTCATTTATTTAAATCGTTGCGTTTAACGTTGCATTTTAACTGTTAATATTGCCAACCAGTGTCATCGTATGTATTATAACATATTTAATAACGTAAAAGCAAAAGCCTAACCCTAAGAAGACTAAGGAAGATAATAATAATATAAATATAATATTATTAATATAATTACAAATTATAATTAAAATAAATCAAACTTCAAATTCAAAGTATTAGTATTATTAAATAATATAATTATAATATAATACTCTATTTCTATTAGATTTTTGGAGTATTAAATATTGATAACTATTAATTAGTTAAATTAGCCTATATTTATGTAATATAATTTATTATATTTTTATATTGTTGTATATTTTTGTATTATAATTATATTAAGTTATAATTAGGGGCCTATATTATAATAAATTATATATATACAGTCTATTATAATATATAATTAATATAGGCCTATATAATTATATATATATGTATATGAATATGGTAATTATGGACTTAGATTATTCAATAAAATGAAATAATGGTAGTCCAGGTAGGCAGGCCTAACAAAAAGTTTTGTTACTATTTAAAACAATTTTGTTGGTCTAAATCAAGGGTCGGGAACCTATGGCTCGCGAGCCAGATGTGGCTCTGTTGATGGCTGCATGTGGCTCGCAGACAAATGTTCGATTATAAAAAAGTCGCATAAATGGTAAGAAATACTCATTATTGATTAGCAACAGCATAACAATGTGATTAAAAAGAATTCAGAGACATAATTATTGCATTTTTAGTGTTGAAATTACACAAAATGCACACATTTACTTGAATTTTTAGTTTTAAACATAATGTATGGCTCTCACAGAATTACTTTTCAAAATATTTGGTGTCCATGGCTCTCTCAGACAAAAAGGTTCCCGACTCCTGGTCTAAATAGTCTAATGTTTCAATTCAATGTGACATTGATATCATAGCAGTCTATATAGAATATAATTTGAATTATGAGTCTACTATAGTAGCCTAAGGGCAGGTCAGAATCAGGGACGTCATTTCAGGTTTTTTTAAGGGGGTGGGAGGCAATACCAAAACTTGGCCTGTTGTTGAGATTTTTATTACTGGGGGTGCCACGGTATATAGCAATTGAAATAAAACCTGCGAATTCAGGGGGGGGGGGGAATCTCCCCTCCTACCCTACCCAAATGACATCCCTAGTCAGAATGTACTGTAATGTCAAAGCTAGACTGTTTTGATTTAGTTTATTCCCAAGCACTTTGACGAGGTCTGAAGTTTGTTTATACTATGTCGTAATAAAAAAATAACTATCCATATTTAATATTATAGCCTATTTTATTAGTGATTTTAAACTTTATTGATGTTTTTGTAATACTTATATCGTTTTGGTGTGTCTCATTTTTTTTTACATGTGAAAGCTGTGCTTAAAAGATTCCTTTATAAATTTATTACTTTTAGATTCATTTCTTACATATATCATTGTGGTGCGTCTTATTTTGATACGACATGCGAAAGCTGTGCTGAAAAGAATCCTTTATAAATCTATTACTATTAGATTCATTTCTTAAGTCTAGTATAAATAATGAAATACAAGGTATTTGGGACATTCATAAACACTGTTTTCCTTTAAATCAGTGTTTACAAGTAGATTTCCATGAAATTATCTGAAGTAAACTTCTGACACTTTGTGACATTGCTGGTAAAAATAATTGAATAAATTGCCAGCTCAAACTTATGTGTGCTGCTGGACCTCACTTTATAGGATGATGTGCTGTGAAAAAAACAACAAAGTGTGACAACCACTCCTTTAAATGGTCCATTGCACGAGTTAAAAGTGTATCCTCAGTTTAAGATAATTCTTATTTTATCTTTTTTGTGTGCCTTGATTCATTTTTGTAAATCCATTTTTATTCTAATTGACTTAAAGTTGATACAAGTGTTTTCGGTTCATTTGGTTCAGTGCTTCAAGTTATTTTTTTAGCAAAATTTCCCATTCCAGTATTTTAATAAGTTTGGATGACAACTTTCATCTATCAACTTGTAATTTTGGTCTCTTTTGATGTACACTAAAAATGTTAAACAAAATGTTAAACAAAATATTATATATGGTTTAAGTACTGAATCAAATATTTGTAACTAGTACAGTGATATTGCAAGGTGCGTGTTATCAAAACGTCCTCCACACCAGATGGAAGTTGTCTTGTCATTGCATTAAGATTAAACCAGTACCGGTACTGATATGTTCATAACTTTTGGCAGCACCTTCTGGAGCCACAACCATAATTTTTTGGTCTATTAAAAACATTTTAACATTGCACACAGTGCCGACAACTACCCACTTGTTCACTACGAAGTGTGTCAGTCTTAAATGATCAATTCTTTTATTTAATGTAGTTATGTTTGACCCACTGATTAAATAGAACTGTGAGGTCTTAATTGATGCCTTTGAAAAATGATTAACTAAACATCTTGTAGACTTGTATCATCAGAGGTTAAGTGACTCTGAGCTTAACTGACTGTTGTGATAAGAAACCTCTCAAAAAGTTCCACATATTAATCTAGAAACATTCACAACAACATGCCTGTTTTCTTTTCAATTTTAATCTGTTAGTTGATACTCTGTATACATATTATAGGCCTATAATTTGTTATTTAAAAGATATAACTTCAAAAGAAGTTAGTTTAAATTGTATTTAATTGTTATTTAAAACAAAATTTAATTTCGGAAGCCTAAGATCCCCACTGCCTGGTTACTTCATCACAACTCTTGACTTCAGTGCTTCTCAGATGGTGTTTTGCAGACCTAAAGATCCACACATTTTGATTGATGTTCTGCTAGAGATCTTTATTGCAGCATAGTGGTATAAAGGATATAAATATAAAGGCATAATTTGTTCAATCGGTCCATTGGACATGATTCTTATATATAAGGTTTCTCGTGGGGAAAATGCTTGAGACTAACTGGTAAAATTAAACTTGAGGGTCATCCCATAGTTGCTTAGGTTAATGGTGGCCATCCCAAACTATATTCATCCTCTAGTGATGTCAGCATAAACCATTGATTATCAAATTTGTTTGACTAAGAATGAAAATGTTTTTTCAGATTTTATAAGAGCAGAACAACTTGTATTGAATCTGATCACAAGTTTAAATAAATCTCAAATACCAAACCTAAAAAAATGCCTGTCAGCCCACCTGGTCTAATGCTCAAGGTTAGTTTATAAGAAGTTTTTAAAAAATTATTAAATGTGTGATGTGCGAAATCCCACATTCCATGACAGATCAAATTTTATATCTGATTATTTTCCATATCTATTGTGTAAAAAATTCCCAGTGTTTTTACATTAATTGACAAATGCATAGATGTCACCTGGTTTTACCATTTTGGATTACACTGTGACTAAGGAGGTAAATATTTATGAATACTAATAGCTGTTATAAATTAACACTAGACTAGTCGTCAGGATATTTAACTTCTTAAGTTAAAAAAAAAAAATCTTTAAAATTCTTCTAGTTGCTAAAGGAGTGTCCTAGAAAATCCTGATTAGTTAATAACATCACGTTTTTTTCTCCCACTTTCAGGTTATTTGGTTGACCCATTTTATGTTGACGTCATGGTAAGCTACAATTAAATAATCCCTAACAATGGTTGACCCATTTTATTTTGACGACATGGTGAGCTACAATTAAATAATCCCTAACAAACTAAGTTTTGCGTATAAATCCTTGTTAAAATAAAATATCGAGCAATGGGGGTGGGGCTGAAAATTTGACAAAACATGCAACATGTAACACACTTTATAAGAATCACAATTAGTGTCGTCGTGTCCCCCCCCTCCCCGTCCGGCTCGCAACCGCATTTTTTTTATGCCACTGAACAATATTAATATTCTAATCACCCACCTGCTTTGACAACACAGATTTATTTCACCAACTGTTTCAGATAAACAAAAGAAAATATTACACAGAAAATGCACTTGCAATATTTTTTAAAAAGAATCTCATTTAGCGCAGCTATCTGGAATTTTATTTATTGAAATCATATTTCCTTTATCTTCCATTTGAAAAGGGATGATATTTGGAGTTTGAGGTTTTTGTGTGTGGGGGGTGGGGGAGGAGGGGGGCTGACAATTTGATTAGAATGTGTTGTCATCATCAACCTTTAAATGTGCCAGTTTCAGCTTGATAGGTTGACAGGAAGTGGGTAAATTAGTCATCTGAAGATTTTTACCAGTCTGCCACCCAGCCAGGCAGCCATGAACAAAATTGAAGTTAATATAAAGGATTAAAAAAACAACAACAAATGCCATGTGTGTCAATTAACTTAGGGGTGTGGACCTGAATTATGTAAAGATCCATTATTCTATTTCTGTAATTACTTCATTTATAAATATACTAATATGACTGTTGCCTGGTTTGGGCTACCAACTGTTCCGTCCCCTCCCTTAATACACACAGCTGTTTAGCAAAAGTACTTAATGCTGAACATGCATGTTAAAAAAATCCATATTATTCATAGATAAACAGATACGGAAAATATATCAAGTGAGGCCTAGTTCCTCGACCAACACATTATTTCCACCACATGGCACATTTTAAAGAAGAAAAATAAATTGCAAAAAATGTTGAGCTTTTAAAGATATTTTAGTAACATGACTGATAAACTATCCATATGGGAGCCCACCATTTCATTTTTGAGTCAAATAAGATTAATATTGCGGAGGCTTCTTTCAAGCTTGGGGAAGGAAAAAAAAATTAAGAACAAGAAAAAAGCTTGACATATGGAACAAAACAATGCACCTTGACATATGGAACAAAACAATGCACCTTGACATATGGAACAAAACAATGCACCTTGACATATGGAACAAAACAATGCACCTTGACATATGGAACAAAACAATGCACCTTGACATATGGAACAAAACAATGCACCTTGACATATGGAACAAAACAATGCACCTTGACATATGGAACAAAACAATGCACCTTGACATATGGAACAAAACAATGCACCTTGACATATGGAACAAAACAATGCACCTTGACAAATGGAACAAAACAATGCACCTTGACATATGGAACAAAACAATGCACCTTGACATATGGAACAAAACAATGCACCTTGACATATGGAACAAAACAATGCACCTTGACATATGGAACAAAACAATGCACCTTGACATATGGAACAAAACAATACACCTGACGTTTCAGAATAAGATATGTGACATCACAATCACATGAGGTTTGTTTTTTTTGAAAATGAGTGCATCGACGCTAGATTGGGTGGGAGTGGGGATATTTATTTATTTATCTATTTAGGCATTTTTATATAGCGCTTACCATAAAGTCATAAAGCTCTAAGCGCTTTACAATTATTAAAAACATGTAAACTAAGTAAAATAAAAATGAGACATTAGGATATATAGAAATATTCGAAATATATTTGACATGATATGTGGTTAACCCCACAATCTATTTAAACTCTTTATCTTCAAAAATTAATTTTTTAATTTTTTTTCCTTCTATGTTACTTTAGGGCTCTTTTTAGTGGTTCGTGGTTGCCAGGGGCCTACATGTACACACACATTGCTGTGTTGGCTTTTGGATTCTGGGCGATAGTGGCAAACGAGAGCACTGATGCAGCACTTATGGTAGGCATGTATTTTGGTTTTGAAAATACTATTCGTATTACTGATATACCAATGCATGAAATTTATTCGTGATGAGTAAAAAGTATACCAATGAAATTATAAATAGGAGACCATGATGTAATCTCATCTGGATGGCAAAGGAATTTTTAGGCTTGCTTATGACAAGTAAAGGGGGCGGAGTCAGCAAAAAAAAAAAAGAAGGGCTCCAATACTCCATTAGAGTCTGATAGAAAGTAAATAAAATAAATTATGAGCTCCACTCAAGAGATATAGCAAACTGCAGACAATATTTGTTGCCCCAGCAAACCTTTTGCTTCACGTGAACTCCACCAGTTATAGATGAACTGATCAGGTGTTCAGTTGAAGAACTCCACCAGTTATAGATGAACTGATCAGGTGTTCAGTTGAAGAACTCCACCAGTTATAGATGAACTGATCAGGTGTTCAGTTGAAGAACTCCACCAGTTATAGATGAACTGATCAGGTGTTCATTTGAAGAACTCCACCAGTTATAGATACACTGATAAGAAGTTCATTTGAAGAACTCCACCAGTTATAGATGAACTGATCAGGTGTTCAGTTGAAGAACTCCACCAGTTATAGATGAACTGATCAGGTGTTCAGTTGAAGAACTCCACCAGTTATAGATACACTGATAAGAAGTTCATTTGAAGAACTCCACCAGTTATAGATAGACTCTAGTCCACAAGTCAACTTCTTGAGGTGGTCAATATCTAACACTGATAAGAAGTTCATTTGAAGAACTCCACCAGTTATAGATAGACTGATCAGGTGTTCAGTTGAAGAACTCCACCAGTTATAGATAGACTGATCAGGTGTTCAGTTGAAGAACTCCACCAGTTATAGATAGACTGATCAGGTGTTCAGTTGAAGAACTCCACCAGTTATAGATAGACTGATCAGGTGTTCAGTTGAAGAACTCCACCAGTTATAGATAGACTGATCAGGTGTTCAGTTGAAGAACTCCACCAGTTATAGATAGACTGATCAGGTGTTCAGTTGAAGAACTCCACCAGCTTTAGATAGACTGATCAGGTGTTCAGTTGAAGAACTCCACCAGTTATAGATGAACTGATCAGGTGTTCAGTTGAAGAACTCCACCAGTTATAGATACACTGATAAGAAGTTCATTTGAAGAACTCCACCAGTTATAGATAGACTGATCAGGTGTTCAGTTGAAGAACTCCACCAGTTATAGATGAACTGATCAGGTGTTCAGTTGAAGAACTCCACCAGTTATAGATGCACTGATCAAAGTCACAATTGTTTTTAATTTTCTCCACAGTTTTTTGTGACTCTGCTTTTCAGTGTTCTCAATGACATCTTATGCCTTGCCCTGTATGAGCCTAGAGCTCACGATGTTTACGAGTGTAAGTAGTCTTACCCTTCAGCTGAGTCTTTTTTATTTTATAGTGCGTATATACTATATCTTCAGCGTACATTTTGCATGTCTTTCAACTCATATCACATGAGATATGATAAAAGTTGCTTACCTCTTGACCAAAGATAGTGGGTCATAATTCATTCCGGCAAATACCGGGGTAGGATGAGTCAGCCGTGGAAGGCAACCAGTGTAGATGTAGCCCAACCAGTAATGAGTCAGCCATGGAAGGCAACCAGTGTACATGTAGCCCAACCAGTAATGAGTCAGCCATGGAAGGCAACCAGTGTACATGTAGCCCAACCAAAAATGAGTCAGCCATGGAAGGCAACCAGTGTAGATGTAGTCCAACCAATTGTTACAACAGCCAGACAAAATCCAGACCATGAAAAAATTTATTTTTCAAAATCAACTGAACTCTTTATTTAAAAAAAAAATCTTTTTCATCCTCAGCAAATCGAGCCAGCACCAGTCAGACAAACGAGTTCAGGTTTGCCTTGGGGTATCCTTTTAAATTTATTATGATTAGATGCTAATAGAATTGTTTTATAGACGCTCCACGTAATTGTAATATATTTTCAGATGGCCTTTCAAGCCCTATTTTCTCATTTTTTAAGAGTTGGTAGTAGTAAAGTTTTTTTTTTTTTTTTTAAAGGGTCGGTGTGATATTGATATTGTTACTTAACATACCAGTTCAACTGTTCAAAATACTTTACACATAGAGGAAAGCTTTGTTAATATTGTTTTCTCAAATCAAAAGGACCTGGTTGTTCATCATAGTGCCAACAAGATTTTCAACAACAACAAAAAACGACTAATACATCCAAAACACACAATTATTAATTCACTATTTCATACCAGGTCATTGAAAATATCAATAATTCACCATTTCACAACTACTCTCTCATACAATTATTCATTCCATATTTCAGATCTAGTCACTGATACAATGATTCATTCCACATTTCATGCCAGTCACTCACACAATGATTCATTCCATATTTCATTCTTATTCGCTCATGCAATCGTTAATTCCATTTTTATACCTAGTCACTCATACAATCATTAATTGTATATTTCATGCCTATTCACTCGTGCAGTCAGTATTTCATACCAAGTCATTCGTACAATCATAGTTTATTATTTAAGACTAAGGGAAAAGAAGTACATTTTAATAAAATCCATGCTGACTTTAAAAATATAATTCAATATTTCATTTTTTCTGTCTGGCCTGCTCCCAAATTTAAGAAAAAATGTATTAACTTCCAAACACTTCAGCTGATGCATGTTACAAATTAATTCAAAACAATATCCTGTGAAGCCATCAACTTCTGCCTTGGGATGGGTTGGGATGGGTCGGACTATCATTTCAAATGGGATTGTATTGATTTTTTATATGGCTCAATTTGGATAGCTTTTAAAAATAACAATTTAAAGTCAACAAAAATGTTATAGCTCTACAACAAAGATTCTCAAATTTTTAGTTTCCTTGTTTCTAACAACATCTTTGATTTCTTTTTGTTGTCCAACTGATGAAAGCACAGTTTTTAAGCCTCAAACCAAACAATATTTTGTTAAGCTTAAATTAGTAAAATGATCACCCAAACAATTTGTGTCAATAAAACAGTATAGGTAACTTCAATTATTTTGAAGACAAAATACAAATGTTTCTGCCAAATGCCTTTTTTAGTACAACTGCAACATGATAACAAATAACATGAATGTAAATTATTATATTGATAAACTACCTAAAATTAAGAAAAAGAAAAGGAAAAGGGTGGGCACGAGTTGCTCACAAAAACAGAAGATTAAAAAGAAAGTCCTTAGGATGACATTGTTTCTTATTGACTCAATTTACTCCCATCAGCTCTTCTGGCATATGAGACAGTGAGGGTGGTGGCCAGTCTTGCTGGCTTATATTGTCATATCTTATTTGATTTTACAGTAAATAAAAAGTCCCCAAAAAATTTAAAAATTAAATACACTATTTCCATTTCCACTCTCAAGTTTAAGAACCACTGAACTTGGTATCAAAAGTTTTTTTCAAACCCCTCCTGTGACACTTCTCATATTGCCCTCATAGCATCTGTGGCATTTAGTGTTGTGTAGTTATTGGTGGTGGAATAGTTTGATGCTTATGGCACAGCAGACATAGGCAGTGGAAGGGTGTATGGCATCTGTGGCATTTAGTGTTGTGTAGTTGGTGGTGGAAAAGTTTGATGCTTATGGCACAGCAGACATAGGCAGTGGAAGGGTGTATGGCATCTGTGGCATTTAGTGTTGTGTAGTTATTGCTGGTGGAATAGTTTGATGTTTATGGCACAGCAGACATAGGCAGTGGAGGGTGTATGGCATCTGTGGCATTTAGTGTTGTGTAGTTGGTGGTGGAATAGTTTGATGTTTATGGCACAGCAGACATAGGCAGTGGAAGGGTGTATGGCATCTATGGCATTTAGTGTTGTGTAGTTATTGGTGGTGGAATAGTTTGATGCTTATGGCACAGCAGACATAGGCAGTGGAAGGGTGTATGGCATCTGTGGCATTTAGTGTTGTGTAGTTGGTGGTGGAAAAGTTTGATGCTTATGGCACAGCAGACATAGGCAGTGGAAGGGTGTATGGCATCTGTGGCATTTAGTGTTGTGTAGTTATTGCTGGTGGAATAGTTTGATGTTTATGGCACAGCAGACATAGGCAGTGGAAGGGTGTATGGGATGTGGGAGTATGTGTGGGTAGTGGAAGAATATTTGCATAGTGGAAGGATGTGGGGTAGATAAAGGATGTTTGGGTAGTGGGAGAATGTGAGGGTAAAGGAAGGATATGGGGGGGGGGGCGGGTTGAAGGGTGCAGGGGAGTGGAAGGATGTGTGGGCAACAATTAAAAGAAAAGAGTTGTTGAAACTGACCAGATGACATTCACCAGTTGAAACTCACCAGATGACATTCACCAGTTGAAACTGACCAGATGACATTCACCAGGGGTTATTTTCTTTTACAGATAAAAATGATCTCCTCAGAAAATCACCAATTCCAATTTAAAATAAAATATTTCCCCAATTTTTCCAAGTTTGCTTATAGAGAAACTTGCATGGTTTTTAAATCTGGTACCTATATATATAAAAAAAAAAATGATTTTGAGTTGTAGGCCTTGTTAAAATATGTTGTGTTAAATATCCTTAACTCAAGTCACCCAGCATGGCAATAACTAATTTAATACTGAAGCCAGTGACGATATTCCTTACCCTGCGCATCTACCAAAGCAGAGTTCAAGGGACCGAGTACAACCCAGCCATTCCTGGATTAGGTAGCTTTCCTGGCGTAGTTATGTGTCAATTATATATAATTTATTTAGTTAACTTAATAACACTGACTTTTTTTTGGCTCCTATTTTCTGGCATAAAATAAGAATTTTTAATGCAATTTATTTTTTTCAGGTTTGTATGGTATCATGTAATGGGGTCATTGTGGTAACAGGGTAACAGTTTAGGCAACACCTGTACTACTTGTCTGATTAAGGCGCAATATCCCAAATTTGCATTCAACAATTTTTTATTTAAAAAAGGCAATTTAAAAACGTTAAAAAATAATTTTAAAAACTTCATATGCAAACAGCTATACAGATTGATACTCATGAGTAAATTTCATGACCTTGACAGGCGCAGCTGCCCCAAGACTCGGAGGAGCTTACGACAACATTGACAGCAATCAGCACCACCCATATGGCAAACCCTCGGATCCACCCACCTACCAGGCTCCTGGCTACCAAGAACCACCTCCACTTGGTCACCCATAGTCTAATGCTTTCAGAAGAAGGTTATGGACAAAAGTCTTTCCAAGGAACTGCTCATTTCTTCCCTTCATTTTCATACAGATATTGTGATTTTAATTTTTTTAAAAAGATTTAAGAATTTTCTTTTTCTAAGTGGGAAAAAGTTGGGAGTGACGTTTTGACAAAAAAAAAAATGCTCTGTCCATGTACCGGTACGATATTGATCATGGTAGTGATCGTAAGCAGCATCACATATACAAAGTTAATTAAATTTGCCTGGTTAGGAAACTGTACAATTCTTAGATGGTATTTTACTAGTATGAGATGGTACGGTACTATTTTGTGAGTTTCAGGGTGACCAGGTCTGAGATTCTTTGAGTTAAACTAATATATTTTTATCATGCCTGCATTTATGAGTGTTCATTTGTATTTTATTTACTTACTACTACTTTAACATATTTTTTTTTACTCAAATGTTTTCAAAATTTTCTGGATGATTATATCTATTCATTAGGTAGCCAGTGTTATAAATTAAATGACAGCTTTTTTATCACCCATTGAACACTAATGAAGCTAGTCGCTGCTTGATTATTTGAATAACCCCTTGAGCTCTGTTTAAAAATGTCTCTATGAGATAAATTGTTCACCGGGAACAAGATTTTGCCAAGTGTTATGCAAGTCATGTGTTCTAGAGCCCTGAAATTTTTTATTTTTTTAAAATGTTAATAGGAACTGGTACAAAAAAAATGTAGGTATGATAAATAGATCATGTTTTTAATTTTAATTTTTCCCCAAGTATAATCAGTTCAAATCGTGTGTTTGTCTTGGAAGTCAATCTGGCATATGCAAAATGGGCTTTCTACTCTTTTTTTTTGAAAATTAAATTTTCCTTCTTCTAAAAATGACAGTGAAATACATATTTACACTTCATCTTCTAGAAAACTTCTGTGGGTTTTCTTGTGCCTTCACTTTCTTACCATTCCATTGAACACATTCCCATATCCAATCATTTGAACCATTTTAGGACTAAACTTTTCCACATTTTTGTAAATTGCTCTGTGCTAAATGATAATTTCAGATTTGTTTCTGTTGATCTGTCACAGTGCTGCTCAAACTATGCACCATGAGTCCCTTCACATGATAACAGTGCTCCTAACTTGACCTCCAACCCAGGGGCTTTATGACAATTATGATAGTCCTTTATTTTAAACCTCATGCCACTTGGGCCAAGACTTGATTGAAATTCATGGTCATGACCTTAACAGAAGAATGGGCAGGAAAAAACAAAAAGACCACTGGTTTCAGAATTACTTTGTATGACTGTGATTTTAGCAGACACTTCTTTGGGACAGTATCTAATGTAAATAAATTTTCCCTTTTTGAGAAATATTACATCAATGGTCTTTGTGGCATTTTTTAATTTTTATGGTCAAGATGACCTTAATTGCTACCGCTGACCAATGATAATTTATTTACAAGCAAACTAATAATTACTCCTGTCGCAAGTTAATATAAAAGCTTAATCTTCAAAGAATTGCAGCTATTGTCCCATGTATTGTTGCAAATATTGTATTATTTTAAAATATTTATTTGTTATAACATATAACATTGTTATGACGTTGTTCCTGAAATTATTTGCTGCTGGCTCAAACATGATATTTTATCAGATAATCAAAACTAAGGATAATAAGTAACAAAAGGTTGGAGCAAACCTGAAAAAATACAAAATGAAACATCTATAAAAAAAACAAAACAACCTACGGTACTTCAGCCAGGTAACGCCCCCCCCCCCCCCCCCCCCCCAAAAAAAAAAAAAAAAAAAAACACCAAAAAAAAAAAAAACAACCCACCGACCCCACACCCAGAAAACCCCCCCCCCCCCCCCCCCGCAAAAAAAACAACAACCCAATTGTTTAAAATAAAATAACTTTAAGAAACTTATCTCAAGCCCTGTAGGGTATAAGAGTACCTTATGTTATTTACTTCATGAAATGTTTAGAGAGTACCTTGTATTTATTTCATAAAACATTTAGATTTTGAGAGTTCCTTGTGCAATTCATTTCATAAAAATTCTATTGCTGTGAAGTTGTAAAGAATTTCAAGACAAAATCTGTCAATTGTGTTCAAAATCAAAAATGTTTTTATCAACATCAAAATAATTAAATGACAGGTACATGTGACCACCACATATTTGATACTGGTACTGGTAGTCAAAAGTACAGTATCACAGCTAATTGTGAGATTTAAAAAATATCAAAGAAAAACTTGTATTATGCTTTGAAAATTAAAAAACACAACTTTTACATTCCCTATCTTTACATTTTGAATATTATTTTTCTATGTGATGCTTATATTTGCTGAAAATGTCATTACATACAGAGAAAGAATTAATTAATAGTGTTTTTAAAAAAATATTTTTTTTCCATGTTTGAAAATGAATTCAACAATATCTGACAATAGCGATATCCCTTTTAGAATATTCATTACAATTAAAAATTTTCATAAAATGGTAGCATTTTTCATAAAGTATGTGTGCTTTTCATCCATTTCATTATCAGTTGATTTCATCTTGGAGAATTTTTTATAATAAAAGACAAAATGAAGTATTTATCTTTATGTATTTATTTTTTCATTGTTTTGAGCATATGATGAAAATGAACAAGTCAAATCCAAATTGAATCTTATGAAAATAAATTAAATCCTTTTCCCATCAAATACCAAACATCAATATAATCATGCACATCACTGAATTTCTCCGTCGTCGATAAGTTAACAGATGCTGTTAATTAACTGATCAGTTATTTCAGTCACGAAGAATAAATATGATGCGTACCAATACCGATCAATATGAAAACACTTTGCATAAGTCACTTGAGAAATTTTAAACATGTCTGGTTTTTACAGCATTACAACATTGGAAGTAGTCACCCAAAAACATTACACAAAAAGTTTAATATTTAAGAAAATGATGATGGGGAAAGTTTTGAATTGACTATTGCATAATCTTAAAGGAAACTGAATGACATGAGAATCTTAAAATTTAATTGAATAAACCACATACAGCATCAAATAGTTTTACCTCCCGTTATAACTTAAAACAATACACTAATTTTTAGAAAGGCTCATTATACATGAAGTGCCTTTGGTAATGTGGAGTTCTATTCACATTCAGGAGGACTTGTAAATAATTCTAGTCTCATTAGTTTTTGGGCAAAATTACAAATTACTGATACAGGGTGGACTATAGGTGGATTTTATCGATACAGGGGCAGGGGGTTGGGGTATGTGGATTTACCGATACAGGGGGCTGGGGGTGGTCAGTGATATTCTATAAAAAGTCACTCTTTTACAAATAAGCTAGGCAGACATTGCCCACAATTTTTTTGTATGTTAGAGTTAGAACATTTTTACTAAAATTGAACCAAATATACAAGGAATTATTGTTCAAGTGGAAAAAAAAAGTATATTTTAATGGAGGAATTTAAAAAAGAATTAACAGATTCATTTAAAATTTGAGTTGAAGGACTGAACTAAAAATAAAATAACGATTTTACCAACGAATTAAAGTTAAGAAGTACATTATTTTATACTGCATTGAGAAATGTTAACAGCATAAACTGCAAATTGTAGGAAGATTTAATTATGAATAACAATTAAATTACAATAACAGGCATTTTCAAACATCTTTCAAATCATTAAAATGGTTATTACCCTATTTCTAATTAAAATAATGTATTACCATTTTTAAATAGCTTTTAGAAAAGAACTTTTCAGTCTGGTGCATTTTTTTGTCATTTTAAAACTGGACAGCCCTGTAGATATGTTTTGCTTTTCATAAAGTCCTTAACAACTTTTGATCGTGATATGAAGACATGCGCTTTGTTGTTAGGCAAGGCCACATGTTAGAACCATTTTTAAAACTTAAGGCCGAATAGCCCATCGGAATTATTTGTTCTTTATTATTCAGTCAAGTCCTAAATAACATTCTAAAATTAGAAAAAGAATTAACCAAAAAATTTTTTGTGTGCATATTTGCAATTAAATAAAATAAAAATTGATTTCATGAACAAATTAGAATACATTATTTCTTTATACGTGAGTTTGGGTATTGAAACCTAATCAGTAAATGTGTAATATACCATCATTATGGCAGGATGAGGAATTTCTATCCCAAACTTTTGTGATTTGTTCCCAACCAGAAATATTCAACGCAGCGACATCAAAAATAACTTTGACCTTTTATTTTTTAAAAAAATCTGCCATCCATAGCCTTGAGGAGAAATTCACACAAAAATATGAAAGGGTCTCAAGTTAATTTTTAAAAATAATTTTTAACTTATTCTGCCAACTGGTTGCTAAGGCCTCTAAAAGGGCTGGGTGGTACTTGCATAACTAATTCTAATCTACTCATAGGTTTAAAGATAATACTGATTTTTAAGCCATTTATAATTTAAAATAAACACATTTTCCCTATAGATATAACTACTCATTACTTGTGTTGAGACCCCTTGGTCCTCACCTTTGAGAGACCCGCCGGCTCACACTCTTTCCATAGTTACCCCACGTGATATTACACAATTAGGCTGGGCCTTACACTAATAACAATGACTCAATGAACAATGGAAATTAACCTGGTCACCTTAACCATGACCCAGCTTAAACAATGCGCATCTGGTCAGGGCGTATCTGGTCAGGGCGTCAGTTTTGACACTAGAATGTATGGCCGGGCGCTAAACTTAGAGTATATATTAAAGGGCCTTGCATTTATCACCCTCTTTCACCTGAAGTTTGACAGCAGAGCCTGGCTAGTTATTGTATTGTGTAAATTTTGTTTATCCATAATTTAACTAGGTTTGTATTGTTAGTTTTCATATGTTTGTAGTTTTTATTAAGAAATGTTAGGATTATATTTACTGTTAGATTATGCATCCGGTTTAGATGATAGTTAGATAGTGTGGGCACTATTTGCAAGTCTTTTGGTTAAAATTAATAGGTAAATAGTTTTAATGGTTTTAATATTCTGCTTTTAAAAATGGATTTTGATGACTCATCAAGTGAAAGTGGAGATTTCAATGGGTTCAGTTTAAGTGATATTGAAGCCCACGAAGTTGACTCGGAGCTAGATATCACTCTCAGTGATATCAGTTGCGTAAGCAGTGTACAAGCTTTAGATCTCTCGATTTTGAAATTGAAGAAAGTGATTCAGATTCTGAAGAGAGTAGAGTGTTGTCATCTGGCGATGCACACAGTTGGAGCAAAAAAATAACATTGAAAATTGAAAGCTTTACAGAAGAAACTGGTGCCAAAATAACAACTGATGATCATTCTCAGCTTGCCTTCTTGTATCAACTCTTTGAAAAAACGTTTCAAATGATTGCAGATCAAACCAATGAGTTCGCCAGACAAAAGATTGAAAAGATGAATGATTGATCATGGGTTCCAACTAATGCAATTGAAATTCAGGCCTATTTTGGTCTTATGCTATTGGGGATCCACAGTCTGCTAGTGTGGCAATGTACTGGTCAATAGATGGGAGGTTAGGAGTGCCAAGTGTGAAAAACGTGATATCTCTCAAGAGATTCAAGAAGCTGGAGCAGTACCTACATGTGGTCGACAACAAAACAGCTGACGACAAAGACCACCTCTATAAAATTAGGCCTCTCATCGGCATGGCTAACAGGACATTCTTACAAAGTTACAAGCCTCAGAAAGAAATTGCTATTGACGAGGCAATGGTGCCATTCAAAGTCAGGAGCACACTGAGACAATATCTACCAGCCAAGCCAACAAAACGGGGGATGAAAGTATGGTGTGCTTGCGAGTCAGCAACTGGTTACCTCCTCAAGTTTTCTGTCTACTGTGGCAAAAAGATGGTGGCACTCAGCATGGACTTGGCCAAGGGGGACCATCAAGTCTTCCAGAAAGACAATCTGCTTGCTATTATGTGGCATGATAAAAGGGATGTCTTCATGCTCTCCAGCAAGACTTCACACATATTGGTCAACGTCAAGCGACGGGACCGGCCCGCTCGCACCAAAAGCTTGTGACCTGCCTTGCTGTCATCAAACTCTACAACCAATGCATTGGGGGGGGGGGGGGGAGGGGGGGGGGGGGACCAAGGGGAGGGGGGGATCAAATGAGGGGGTAATACTCTACACAGAAGAAGTGCAGAAAATACTGGCGCTACCTCCTCAGTTTTGTCTTTGATTCATCCATAAACAATGCTTTCATCCTGTTCGAGCAGACTGTAGCAAAGCCCAGCAAACAGTACTCCCTCCTGGACTTCCGTCTGGATTTATCTGAACAGCTCATCGCAGGATTCTCTAGCAGGAAGAAGGCCGCATCAAAGAGAAAAGGCGGAGCAGAAGCCCCAGAAAATGTTCACACTCACAAGCTCGTGAAGTTTGAGGGCAGGAAGAAAGCCTGCGTGATGTGCAAAAATGCAAAACGTCGTACCTCTTCAGGACGAGCCATTGAAAGTTCATATGGCTATGATGTGTGACCAGTGAATTACTGTAAAAACACTTGTTTTCCCCAGCATCTTGGAGGCCAATGAGCAGTTGGCAAAGTGTTTGTAAATGGTGTATAAATGACTGACAATCACAAACTATAAGTATATTTTGTAAATATTTGTGTTCATGTGTGGCTAACTGGCAACTTTGGATTATTCATTTGACATGTGAGTCAACTTCATAAATCTGCTTTCATTTCCTTTATTTTGTTATTTATTTAATAAAAATCGCTTCACTCACACATTAGATGTGACGTTTTTTCTAACGTAGCCCTAAATCTTACTAAAAACCTAAAAAATCTGGCAAGTTCACAGCGAGCAAAAGGAAAAACGTCTGCCCTTAAAGGGTTAATAGCGTGATGTGATTTTAATTCTTAAGTTATATCTTACACGTTGTATTTGTTATTCTCATTTCTAGCCAGTTGGAGTTAGTCTCAGCATAGTTAGTATAATTGAACATAGTGGAGTTGAGGTCCAGTTATTACAATTTAGTCTCAGTATAGTTGAGCTCATTTAAAGTCAGTATAGTATACCGTAGAGTCTGGACTCCTCACTACAGTTGAGTCAGTTAGTGGAGTCAGTCAGTTAGGGTCAGACTAACACTGACAAGGAACCAAGCCTAGGTTAAGCCCACTAGAGTTAGCAGAGACGCGGCCACAAGCCCAAGTCGTGTGTGTGCCCACAATCGAAGTATTAGAGACTACACCTCACGTCGCAGTGTGTAGTGACCAGTGACCAGAGAGAGAGGCCAAACCTACAAGACTGCTGTGTGTGTGTGTGTTGGGACCTGACCTGCTTAGAGGACAAGATCGCCAATCACAACTTAGTCCATCGCAAAATTGTATAAAGTATGAGACAGTATAATTAGTCATTGCTTTATATGTGTATGTGTGTCTTTAATTCTGTTTATAATTAAATATTTATTTGTGGGCTGAACCACCTGTGTTTCTTAGTATAGTGATAGCATTAATAGAAGTGAGCGAGTGAGAGTGTCATTGAATGTTAGAGTGAGTCTGGAGTGAGATTAGTTTAGAGTACTTAAATAGGAAATATAACCATACCCTAGACATAGCCCTAGTGGCAGTACTAATCTAACGTAACGTAAAACAGGGGACACATTAAAACAACGTAAAAAGGTGCATTCATCTGGAGTTCAAAACACTGGATAAAATAAATTATGACCTCCCCTTTTTCCCATCATCTAGGATGTGTCATGTAACAGGCTGCAATCAGTCTGGGGATGTCTCACTGGCTCTCCTGCTGATCAACCCAAATTAAAGCTCAAACCAGCCTCCCTGGACACTGTTGACAGAGCTGTCTCTTAACTGACACCCCATAAGGTGTGAGACCAAGTGAGGCAAAGGGAGCTAACTGCCAAATATTTTATCAATGTCATAATTTCCACAAAGGCTTAATTCTCTAGCTATAGGGCACCATGATTGTGTAGTTGACTGTCAATAGTATAATATTCAAGAAGTTACTAAACCCAAGCATTCGGAAAATGGTTGTTTAAAAACACAGGAAGCAATCGTTTATGATCACTCTCTGCTTTACTTCAAGCCGTTATGTTGAAAACAAACACACACATTCTTTAACATTGAAATTTCCTTCTTTGCCAATTTATGACACTTTCATCATACATTGTTGCAAAGGTTAAACCCTATTTCAATATTAACATAACACATTAAAGCACTTTAAAAAGTTCATTGAAAAATAAGTTTCAAGCTCCCATACAGTGTCTCACGTTCACTCTTAAACGTAGTTAGATTCAACAGGCTAGTGTTCAACGTCAGCAGTGGCCCAGTACCAAAGACATCAAATTCATGCTCTTTCAAGTCCACACTTTCACACATCACAGCCCTCACGCAGACCTTGCAGCTCACAGCAGAATCATCTCTTGCATACATATTTACAGCCTCGATCTCCTGGGTGTGTCAGATGTCTTTTAATCGGTCGAGGTCGCGCTCGTCACACGCACTATAGAGGTCAGTTCGGCCTAGCAGGGAAAGGGCCATCCTCATGGTGCTCCAGATGTTCTCGGACATGGCCGAGGTTTGACCCTGGGGGCCTCGGCTCTCCCGCTGCATGTTCAGAGCCGTGACAAAATGCTCAACAGCTTCTCTGGATAAAATTATTTACAACAAGTTAAATGTTTCGTCAATTATTATCTAAGAGTGATCTTGATTTAACTGTAGCATTAATTACCTGGCAGTATGAATCCAGGCATTGGTTACCAATCACTACAATTATATTTTTGACCAATTGAATTTAACCACAGCCACAAATTTGAATGGGCTAGGTCAGTCACATGACGTCGTGCAGTGGTTTCTAAAATGTATGCAACTGGTCAAGGGAATTATGTTTGGACATTGAGATGGGGATGCAGAAAATGTTTTGAAATTAAGAGGGGAAGTGGTGCTGCAAAAAGGTAAAGAACCCCTGACCCTTGATTTAGTTCATGCCCAGATGAAACCCCAGCATTTTTGAAGACACAAGATTAAAAAAATTCACAAAGTATAAGAGAAGCCTATCTGAAATACAACCTATCTGAAGGGCAACCTATCTGAAGGGCTACCTATCTGAAGGGCAACCTATCTGAAGGGCAACCTATCTGTTGGTAAAAAGGTAAATCTGTAGCTCTTTACTGCATCACTAGGCCATGTGATGATACTATGTAGATCACTAGGCTATGTGATGATACTATGTAGATCATTAGGCTATGTGATGATACTAGGTAGATCACTAGGCTATGTGATGATACTATGTTTATCACTAGGCTATATGATGATACTATGTAGATCACTAGGCTATGTGATGATAATATGTAGATCACTAGGCTATGTGATGATACTATGTAGATCACTAGGCTATGTGATGATCCTAGGTAGATCACTAGGCTATGCGATGACACTATGTAAATCACTAGGCTATGTGATGATACTATGTAAATCACTAGGCTATGTGATGATACTAGGTAGATCATTAGGCTATGTGATGATACTATGTAAATCACTAGGCTATGTGATGATACTATGTAGATCACTATGCTATGTGATGATACTATGTAGATCACTAGGCTATGTGATGATATTATGTAGATTACTAGGCTATGTGATGATACTATGTAGATCACTAGGCTATGTGATGATACTATGTAGATCACTAGGCTATGTGATGATACTATGTAAATCACTAGGCTATGTGATGATACTATGTAAATCATTAGGTAATGTGATACTAGGTAGATCACTAGGCTATGTGATGATACTATGTAGATCACTATGCTATGTGATGATACTATGTTGATCACTAGGCTATGTGATGATACTATGTAGATCACTAGGCTATGTGATGATACTATGTAGATCACTAGGCTATGTGATACTAGGTCCAAGTTGACAGTTGTCAATTATTTTAACAGCAGTTTGTCATTAAAAACTCATTATGAAATATCCCTAAACACTATTATACTTTTAAACTTTATAAGAAAAATACAATAAAATTTGGAACAACTGACCTGTATGCTTGTAAGTTGATGCATGCAATGCCTAAATTGTAACGGGAGCGTATAAACCCTGGGGCCAGCTCAAGAGCTCTTCTGTAGGCCTCCACCGCCTCCTCACTTCTGTTACCGTTGGCCAGGGTGGCACCATATTTGTTCCACAGCAGCGCATCCTGGCAGTAAGAGAAGATAGTGTGTTCTTTTCTAACTACGTATAGAACTTGGGCCTGGGTAACACTTCCAGGCTCGGTCGACAGACTCATCACAACCCCATGTGTGGCTGGCTACACAGTGAGGCTAATACACCATGCAGCTGGCTACACATAACGCTGATACACCATCAGGCTAATACACCATGCGGCTGGCTACACATAACGCTGATACACCATCAGGCTAATACACCATGTGGCTGGCTACACATAACGCTGATACACCATCAGGCTAATACACCATGCGGCTGGCTACACATAACGCTGATATACCATCAGGCTAATACACCATGCGGCTGGCTACACATAACGCTGATACACCATCAGGCTAATACACCATGTGGCTGGCTACACATAACGCTGATACACCATCAGGCTAATACACCATGTGGCTGGCTACACATAACGCTGATACACCATCAGGCAAATACACCATGTGGCTGGCTACACATAACGCTGGTACACCATCAGGCTAATACACCATGTGGCTGGCTACACATAACGCTGATACACCATCAGGCTAATACACCATGCGGCTGGCTACACATAACGCTGATACACCATCAGGCTAATACACCATGCGGCTGGCTACACATAACGCTGATACACCATCAGGCTAATACACCATGCGGCTGGCTACACATAACGCTGATACACCATCAGGCTAATACACCATGTGGCTGGCTACACATAACACTGATACACCATCAGGCTAATACACCATGCGGCTGGCTACACATAACGCTGATACACCATCAGGCTAATATACCATGTGGCTGGCTACACCATAATGCTTACAACAAGTTCCAAAGATCACACATGGAGGTTTTTCTCCATGCATTACATTGACCTTTTTTTTCTAAAAAAAACCAATTACAGCAATTATTTCAAACAGCTCCATCTCTTAAAACTAAACTTATTCAAGATGAGATTCTTTTCACATGGCATAATTTTTCCAGGTCTTTGCTTAGTTTGTTTTTCTGCTATTTTACAGCATTTTTCATTGTCATATTGTTCATTGTCATATTTTTCATTGACACATTGTTCATTGTCACATTGTTCATTATCACAGCAAGCAATATGGCCCAAAACATCCAACTTTAACATGTTATTTCTGGTCAGTGTCTCCACTCAGCCTGTTAATCTCACAACCAAAGTCGGTAACCAGAGGGACATTTTGGTGTTGCAGGAAATGCAACTGTCAGCAACTTTGTCCTGTGTTTTAGTAACTCGGTCAGCCTGCTCACCCCCCCCCCCCCCCCACCCCCCCCCTCCCATTTTCCCCCCAGCTCTATTAAATTAATATATACAAAAAGGCTTACCCGGGGTCTAACTCGCAATAAAAGTAAACATGGGCAAAAAACCCAATAAAAAGCCATAATCAAACATAACAAAGAACCAGTGGTGTCTGCGCCTTGCTTACCCGGGGTCTCACTTGAAGAGCCAGGCCAAAACACTCGACGGCTTTCTGATATTCTCCACTTAAGTTAAACAAAATTCCCAGTCCGCACTGTGGAAGAAATAAAGGGAAAATAAATTCATTAGCGAGTTGAAAAAAATAAATAATTCTCATTTACTTTTTGGCAGCCCTAATTACTTTCTGATCAGCTCATGATCAATTGTAGGTGGGGGTAGTCCCAAATATTTCATTAGATCTGTGTGTATGATGGTGATGTGTACAGCATATTTCATTATGGATAATGTTATGGTCAACTTCACCAGTGTATTGTTTTGTGGAAATCTTATCAAACAATTCATCAATGGGTATGGTTTAGAGATGGGAATTAGACCCTCTTTTAGAAGTTCGGGTTTGATTTGGTCATCAGTAGGGTTCGATTTGGCTTGGGTAACAACTAACGTTCAGTTTCGGTTCGGTAACAACGAAAGCTTGCATTCTGTTCAGCAAACCACTGCAGTTTGGCGAGTTCAGAAATTTGAAATTAATTTGGTTTAAATTTGAATAAATATATATATTTAAATTACATTTATTATTAACACCAGGTTTTATATAGAAATTCACCAAAAAAACATTTTCTTCAGTTATCATAGGAGGCCTATACTGGGACTTATACAACTAGATCTATAAATAAACACTTGATTGATTGAATACTTATATAGCGCTTGTATCCTGGGACTTATACAACTAGATCTATGAATAAACACTTGATTGATTGAATACTTGTGTATCGCTTGTATCCTTGCTATTTTAGCATGCTCTGATGTTCTTAAAAAGTCTTTAAATGTTTCTTAAATTATTTTTCTTATCATTTTCAATTTCCCTTAAAGATTGAGGCAAATTATTCCATAATTTTGGCGCTATCGCTTCAAAAGAACGCACTCCGAATGACTTCTTTCCGAGTCCATCCACACCGGGAACTCTCAGTAACGACTGTGCAAGCGTAGGTTCTTTAAGGATATGTGTTTATAAATCAGTTCTTTAAGGATATGTGTTTATAAATCAGTTCTTTAAGGATATGTGTTTATAAATCAGTTCTATATGCATATGTGTTTAGAAATCAGTTCTTTAAGGATATGTGTTTAGAAATCAGTTCTTTAAGGATATGTGTTTAGAAATCAGTTCTTTAAGGTCATCCAGTACAGAGCCTCCTGTACAGCTGTATGCCAGGGACAGAATTTTGTGTTCAATGCCCTCACTTATACGAAGCAATGGAGATCTCCAAGAACTGGGGTGATGTGGTCAGATTTCTTTATTCGCGATACAATGACGTCGTACAGTGGTAGCTGCAGTATTTTGTACCTTCTGGAGTCTCTGAATTTAGTTCTGAGTTAAACCCCACAAACAACTGTTACAGTACTCTAATCTTGATTGGATTAGAGTTACTTCTATGGCATTTGCTGTTTTCTTTACTTCAGAGCCACACATAATTGCCTCAGTCTTATCGACATTTAATTTTAGTCTGTTTGATGACATCCATGATTTCACCACAAGACAGCAGTTCTCAACAGCCTGAACAGCAGCAGCACAGTCCAAAGGATCAGAACGGAAACAGTTGTACAGTTAGGCATCATCTGCAAATAGTTTGTGATAGAACGTTCGGGTTGGTGCGTACTCAGCGACGTTAAAGTTTACTCAGCGACGTTAAAGTTTGGTTCAGTCATCAGCAGGGTTCGGGTTTAATCGGGTGCATGGCTCAAGTTCAGCGTGTTTGGTTCGATTCCCATTTCTAGTATAGTTGTCATCAAGTTCACCAGTGTATCTATTGTTTTGCACCTTAGGATCATTCTGTTTTTACTTTAATTTTTTTATAGACAGTACCCCAGTAGAAAGTTAAACATCTCCCACCTGAACGTCAGGATCTATCTGGGTCTCTGCTGAAAGTCTTGCTGCTGATAAATAAAGTTCCCGGACCTTTTCATGCTCAGAACTGGAGAAAAAAAATGTGAAAATTTCATCTTTTTGATACTAAGCAATATTAAAAATGAAGGTTTCCAAAAATGACCAAAGCTATTGACATGTTTGTAAAGTATGTAGGCAAACAAAATACATTGAATGGTAAATGCGATATACTTGTGTAAAAAAAAATAGATACTTGTGTAACTAAATACTAGATACTTGTAAAAAGACAGACACAGCGTGACAGCACTACCTTGACATGAACGTCAACTCTGAAGGGGGGGGAGACATCTCAGTTACCAAGCTCGAGTAGCCGGGGTTGTGAGCCAGCCATGACTTGAGGGCGTGGCATGCATGTGACCCAAAGGATTCATTTGTATAGGAAACGGCTATGGCCATCCAGGCCGAAAGGTTGTCTGGGTTCAGTTCTAGGCACCTTGAAGGAGGAGAGTACATTACATTGTCATACACATTTGTTTTTTTATATGGAGACTTGACCAAATCAAAAGGATTCTTTTCTTGTTTGTAAAAAAACAACCACATCCCTTAAGCAAAATGTTCACATATCACATATGCCATTCATACATGGTAACATATCATCATTATCATGCATGTTATTCATATATGGTAATATATTATGATGCGTGTTGCTCATATCTAGAAACTAGGGGAAAATGATGAAACACATTACCTAACATTTTCAAACAAACATATTTGGTTCACAAAATGATAGTTTCTACCACATACAATAATATTTGGTTCACTATAGGACAATTTCAACCAAACTTGTTTAAAAATGAATTTAAAAAATAATAATATAAATATATATATATAAATGAGATAAAATGACCTACTTCCTGAGAGCTGCTATTGCTGCAACTTCTTGCTCGTTGTCTGCTTGTGTTGTGCCCAGGTATTGCCAGGCCTGAAAAATAGGTCATCATACTGATATTAACAGTTGATGGCTAAACTTTTATAACTAAGGAATTTTGAAAGATTTTAACTGCCTAAATAAGTTTTTAAAAAATCATTTAAAAGTAGGACACCCCCCCCCCCACCCCCAATTTACAAAATAGAGGTTTCAATGTCAAATAATTGTACCTTTAGGCAGATAATTCAAATAATCAGATTATTTATTTAGTTCTATTATTGTTTTATTAGAAATGTATAAAGTAAAATTTCTTGCATAAAAAAATCAACCAAAGACTTTTCTATTGCAATCATTATAAATTTTGGTGTAAACCAACAAGTTATTAACTTATTCTAAAGTGCAATACTTGGAAGCCTACTAAACTTCAGAATAACCCACTGTTGTGGGGAGGAATTCATTGTCTGACATCAAACACAGATTCAATCGACTAATCAAGAAAGCTAGTAATACCACACAAACTAAACATCCTTCACTAGAACTATTTGAAGAAAAATGCCATTGTAAAACTCAAAAAAAAATTTGTATGATAGGTTTCACCCTATTCAATCAAATCTTTAAAATTTTTTTTTTATTTGACTTAATTTAAGGATGCAATTTTTGCCCAGGTTAGCGGAAACACTTTGATTTTTTCCCTTTAACTTTTGATAATTCCAAAATGTGAAAGAAAAGTGGTGAGGACTGTTGCATTAAATTTTTGGATTGGCAATGAAGTGAACTCTTAGACTTTTAGAATGTTAGCCCTGTGACTCTAGACTTTTAGAATGTTAGCCCTGTGACTCTAGACTTTTAGAATGTTAGCCCTGTGACTCTAGACTTTTAGAATGTTAGCCCTGTGACTCTAGACTTTTAGAATGTTAGCCCTGTGACTCTAGACTTTTAGAATGTAAGCCCTGTGACTCTAGACTTTTAGAATGTTAGCCCTGTGACTCTAGACTTTTAGAATGTTAGCCTTGTGATTCCCATTCACTCAAATTTTTTTTTTTTTTAATATCAGTAGCTTGAAATAGGAAGTATTTGAACTGGCTGAAAGTTGATAAGAGGATGAGAGACCATTTCAAAGAATTAAAGCCTTGAGAACAATATTAAGTTGATGGCTTTCGTGGATGGGGTCATCATCAACTGAACTGACCTCAACATGCGTAGGGTCTTTCTGTACAGCTGCCTCAAACAACAGGACAGCATTGGGGATGTCTCCGCCCTCAAGCTTCTTCTTGCCTTCTTCAAATGGATTCTCGTGGTCTAATAAGTGGTTTTCTTGATCAAATACATAGTCCTTGAATAGACATCATGGTCATATAAGTGATTTTCTTGATCAAATAAAAAGCCATAAGGATAAAACAATTTTTAAATGGTACATAGCTTAAGAGAATAAAAAGACAACAACAATGAGGGTCTTAGCAAGTAAAAATCCTATACCAAGGACCCATTATGAGTACAACTCATTTTCAAGGTGAAAATAATTAGAAATTATTCTTCTTGGAACTGCAGGTCTCAGTTTGAGATTGTGTTACAATATTTTAACTATGCCAGGAAATGTGCAGATGTTTCAAAGATAGGAGAATGGACAAAGTGGAGTCAACCATAAGATCTACCCACCTTAAAAGCAGTTGATGATTCGTACTCTGTCAACCAAGAATGGCCTTCATCACTAGAAAGACAAAATGGCATGAAGATTACTTACACTTACCAATATTCCTGTCTTTTATTGATTGCCCAATGATATCTAATAATAACATTACAAGTCAATCGTTGACAGTGCATTGATAACATTACAAGTCAATCGCTGACAGTGCATTGATAACATTACAAGTCAATGGCTGACAGTGCATTGATAACATTACAAGCCAATGGCTGACAGTGCATTGATAACATTACAAGTCAATCGTTGACAGTGCATTGATAACATTACAAGTCAATGGCTGACAGTGCATTGATAACATTACAAGTCAATGGCTGACAGTGCATTGATAACATTACAAGTCAATCGCTGACAGTGCACTGATAACATTACAAGTCAATGGCTGACAGTGCATTGATAACATTACAAGTCAATGGCTGACAGTGCATTGATAACATTACAAGTCAATGGCTGACAGTGCATTGATAACATTTCTCAGGTGGTATATCATCACAGCCCTGACTGGCCTCATCACAGCCATGACTGGCCTCATCACAGCCAAAACTGGCCTCATCACAGCCATAACTGGCCTCATCACAGCCATAACTGACCTCATCACAGCCCTGGCTGGCCTCATCACAGCCATAACTGGCCTCATCACAGCCATAACTGGCCTCATCACAGCCATAACTGGCCTCATCACAGCCCTGACTGGCCTCATCACAGCCATAACTGGCCTCATCACAGCCATAACTGGCCTCATCACAGCCATCAACATTTCTCAGGTGGTATATCATCACAGCCCTGACTGGCCTCATCACAGCCATGACTGGCCTCATCACAGCCAAAACTGGCCTCATCACAGCCATAACTGGCCTCATCACAGCCATAACTGGCCTCATCACAGCCATAACTGGCCTCATCACAGCCATGACTGGCCTCATCACAGCCATAACTGGCCTCATCACAGCCATGACTGGCCTCATCACAGCCCTGACTGGCCTAATAGCAGCCATGACAGGTTTCATAGCAGCCATTATTGGCTTCATCCCAGCCATTACTGGCTTCATATCAGCCATGACTGGCTTTATCACAGCCCTGACTGGCCTCATCACAGCCATGACTGGTTTTGTAGCAGCCATGACTGGCTTTAAAGCAGTCATGAGACTGGCCTCCTCACAACCCTGACTGGCTTCTGGAACTAAGCCTCAGGACTGCATGATTCACCCTGCCACCATCACACTTCATTATTTTTTTAAGCCATGATCTAGGATTTAATCTAAGATTTTGTTTGAATTTTGTACAAGTCACATGCTTATGTCTAAAAATGTTTGTTTTTTAAACTGTTACAACTGACCAACAGAAACAAACCTCACTTGACACATTAAACAAAAGTGGAAGACTAAAAAAAAAAAAGGAGTGGGGGGGGGGGCACATTGGATCTTACTTTTAAACCCCCCCCCACTGTTTCTGAAAATTTTCCCNACTATAAACTGAGCAATTTGGGGGCACATCCAAGAGTTGTGAATGATACCAAACAAAACTATAAACTGAGCAATTTGGGGGCACATCCAAGAGTTGTGAATGATACCAAACAAAACTATAAACTGAGCAATTTGGGGGCACATCCAAGAGTTGTAAATGATACCAAACAAAACTATAAACTGAGCAATTTGGGGGCACATCCAAGAGTTGTAAATGATACCAAACAAAACTATAAACTGAGCAATTTGGGGGCACATCCAAGAGTTGTAAATGATACCAAACAAAACTATAAACTGAGCAATTTGGGGGCACATCCAAGAGTTGTAAATGATACCAAACAAAACTATAAACTGAGCAATTTGGGGGCACATCCAAGAGTTGTAAATGATACCAAACAAAACTATAAACTGAGCAATTTGGGGGCACATCCAAGAGTTGTAAATGATACCAAACAAAACTATAAACTGAGCAATTTGGGGGCACATCCAAGAGTTGTAAATGATACCAAACAAAACTATAAACTGAGCAATTTGGGGGCACATCCAAGAGTTGTAAATGATACCAAACAAAACTATAAACTGAGCAATTTGGGGGCACATCCAAGAGTTGTAAATGATACCAAACAAAACTATAAACTGAGCAATTTGGGGGCACATCCAAGAGTTGTAAATGATACCAAACAAAACTATAAACTGAGCAATTTGGGGGCACATCCAAGAGTTGTAAATGATACCAAACAAGGAAGTGGTGTTTCAGACAGGTTAAATTGGGGATGCGGTTGATTCACTGAACTGGCCAAACTTTCGAAAGTGCATATCAATTTAAACTACTTCTTTTAAAATGCCTGAATGCCTATCATGGTCTTTGCTTTAAAACATGTAAAAGCTGATACCTAATAATACTGTAAATGAGAGTTGAAGTTCATGCACTTTATAATTTTGTGGTAAGCTTAAAAGGCCACCATTTACAAGAAAACAGGGTTGGTTTTTAAAAAAAAATAATAAGATCAAGTTTGAAAGTAAGAATGTAATGTTAATTTCTCCCTTACATTAACTTAGAATAATACAGAGAAAGGGAGCCCCAATTTTTTTTTATTGAACTGAGCTTACTGCTTTTGTCTATGACACTAAAAATTTATAGATCTAAAAGACTGGCAACTCACAGTTTGTTGAGATGTGAAATCCTCCACCCAATCATCCGTCAGTTGGTCACCAGATTTTTCTACAACTTTGTTGTCTCTAATAGTGATTTCCTCATCCCCTAATTTCTTTACAAACTTCATAAACTGAAATGTTTAAAGCAACAGCTTATTTAATCGTTTACACAAAGATTAAGGCAATGAATAACAATTTGAATTTTTTTCTTCAGAACATTAAAATAATATAATAAATCATTGATTCTCAAATCAAGCATATTTCTATCTTTTCCTGAATGGATCATTGTAAAAATTTAAAAAAAAATTATTTTGACACTGCAAAGTTGTAAATTCAGCAGGTATTCACAAATATATCATCTCATCTACTTAATAAAAGTCAAATTTTGAAAGAACCATTTTGATTTATAAATTTGGTATTGCTAACTTGAGAGTTCACTTAAGAGCACAAGTCTTTAGGTTTTTGTATCTTTGTTGATACAGATAATAGATGTCTAAATATAAAGAAAGTTAAGTTTGCTTTTTAGATTCGAGTACAGACGGTAAAAATCGGGGGGGGGGGGCTGCTTAAAAGTGGTGGTGTGACCCTGGGCTCTCTAGACTTCTGAAAGCCACCTGATATGACAAAGAAATGGGATTGATAACCTCATGACACACCGCTGCACAAAAATGTAACAATGTTACCTGCCTGATACTGGACTCTTTTTTTGAAAGCAAAACCCACCTCAGTTGCATTCAGTTTGGGGTCATCAATGGCTCCTGTCAAAGCTCTGGCAGTGTTCTTTAAAGCGTTGTCGCTCTGCTGTGCTGAGAAGTCATCCACCCACTTCACATCATCCAGAGACTCTCTCTCAAACTCAGATGCCCTGGGAAATATAATCAACTAATTATAAGAGTGTTGGACTGCGATAAAGCTTTAAAATAGATTAATTAGACACAAACCATTTGAGTCAATAAACAATATATGTTAGCTTTAATAATAATTTTAAATAATACATAAGTAAACCTTTCGGTAAATGCCTTCATCAGTACAACAACAAAACATATAAATAAATATAAATCAAATGTAAATCATAGATATATAGACATGTATCCTACCGAAAAAATAGAAAAGAATAGGAGTGGTAAATATAATGTAATTTATTTTTATTCATCATGAGAAAAATCATGTCATATCAATGGACCAGATTTTTAAAGTTTTCCTTCAAAAAGGATGTTCATTGAATTAAGCTTGAGATCCAGTATTGTAATGTAAAGTTAAGATATAGAACTTGAATAGATCAAAGGCTAACTTCTGTAATAAATGGTGTAATAATTGGTGTAATAAAGGGTGTAATAAATTGTGTAATAATTGGTGTAATAAATTTGTTTAATAATAGATGTAATAAATTGTGTAATAATTGGTGTATATAAAATAAAATGTGTAATGGTGTAATAAATTGCGTAATAAAGTTTGCAACAATTGGTGTAATGAATGGTTTAAGAATTGATGTAATAAATTGTGTAATAATTTTGAAATTAATGGTCTAATTGGTAATTGCCTCTGTTCTAATAACATAGTATGTGTCGGTGACCTACCATGCAGTTGTCTCCAGCTGACCTAAAAACTCAGATGCGAGTTTCCCGTGGTCCTCATTTTCAAGATAATCATGGGCCCATTTTATCTCTTCCCCGCCTCGCAGTCGGTCATACTCGGCCGCCCACTGGTCAGTACCGCCTGACAAATGTGTGTTGCTGATGGCTGTTGTGTTTAGGAACTCCTCTGCCCAGTTGGCTGTTGAGGCCAGCTCGGCTATGCCTGGAGCTGAAATTTGAGTAAGTTGAATAGGTTGAACTATTTTAAAGTAACTGTAGCTAAGGAACAATCTGTTCAGCATAAAATTACACAACATTGTATCATAGTTAACAGAAAAACAGTGCATCAACTTCCACTAATGAACACCTCACAAATGTCTTTAAATTTTAACTGTGGTAGCATTGTAATACAATGTCCTTTAGGCATCTCAAGTGTACAACTAACTAGCAGGTATATTGTACATTTTCCAAAATGATTGTATTACTTTTTTTTAGCCCATAACCTTTTGCATATATTGTAATTTCATTATAAACTATTTTGTGCTGTATAAATTTGACAATTTTCAGGTGGATTGGTCTCTTTACCTCGCTGTGGTGCGTGAATCATTTCAGCCCCCTCAATTTCTCTCATTTCTTGGAGCAGGCTCCCCATGTGAAATGTTTGTGGTGCCATTGCAGTTTGGTGACTTGAAAGATATTCACTGACCAGCTGGAGAGAGAGATACAAACAACATTTTTTGCGTAATTTGCAGCTGGAGGACTTTAGCTTAAGATTTTTATCTCTTTAACTTGGCTGGGAAAATACATTACTTTTAATTAATTAAAATCTATTTTCTTATTGAGAAGAAGAAGACAATAAGGAATCACTAAAGCAGTGCTGATGATCCTTTTTATTACAAATGTAGTCCAAATAAAACAGGGGCTGAAAATTATAATGTAAACATTGTTAAATACAATTTTTTTATATTCAACGGTAATAGTTATATTTATTATTTTAAAATTTAAAATATTTTATCTATTAACTCTTGGGTTGTGGCACCTTAAAGTTTTGTACCACTGCTGTAAAAATATTCATAAACTCCTTTAAAAAAATTAGTTATATTTTTTTAAAATAGTACATTACTTAAAGAAGGTAGAACAATTACCTCATCGGTAGCAATTTGACCAAGTGTTCTGTTAATCTGTGAACACAAACAATGTATTTGGTATTGTCTTAACAATAAATATGAAAAATTAATTATTTATAACTGTAATCATTTCAAACATGTAAACTCAGGAAAAGGTTGAAGTTTAAAACTTCAATTTAACGTTGTATGTAGGCATATCTTGTATTAATAATCCAGAACTTGTGATGAAGTTCAAATTCTAAATTCCAAACAGTTCAGCAGCTAATAAGCTTGACAATAGTTACTGCAAATCTGAATTTCACTTAGCTTCTACATTGATACAAACCTAAGTGTCCTTGGAGGAATACCTCAAGCTTTTAGGAGCATTGCGGTGAAAGCTACTAGACAACAACCAGCCAATCAGAAATGGTTTGAACCACAGTATGATGAAAATATCACATGACAGGCAATGACAGTATCAAATTTGCATTAATTTTCCAGCCAAACCATAAACAAACGTTCTTGGAAAGCAATAAGAAACCTTTCTCATAAGACACAAACAACATTCTTTCGAATCAATAAAAAACCTACCTCATATGGCTTTTGTGGTGGGAATCTTCCTGTGGCACCATAACCTTCCTGCAAAAGGAATACACAAATTCTTTTGTTCTTTTTTAAAGCGAGACACTAATAAATCTAACAAAAGAGTTTCTGTAACAATAATAAGTCACACATATGTATATATTTCTAAGTGACTTAAACTTTTGAACATTTTAATAACATTGACTGATAGTGTTCTAGTTAAGGTTAACAGTTTTGAAAATTATTATCTTATTTCTTTACACAAAAATAATGGAATTTAATATTTTTTTCTAGCTGATAGCATAAAATATTGTAATTTGATACAAATCAAAATATAATTTATTATTGTTTTTTTTAATAAAAAATTTAAGTCACCTATTAAATTTATAATATGGAGTTATTGATAAAGATTAACCTTTTCCATAAATTTTTAAACAGTTCTTCACCAATCTGCAATGAAAGTAGCTAATAAATTTCTTTCTATGATTCTTGTAATCGTTAGCCATCAGAGAAAAGGGTTAGAAGCAGAAATTTCTTTTACTTTCAGAAATGCCACAAAGTCAAAGCCACCAACAAATAATAAAAGCACATTTCGCCAATTTGTCACAGAAATCAACCCCCTGAAGCTTGCCGTTAATACTTTAATTATACAACCTGCTAGCAAAAATTAATAAATGAAGGGACTGCTTTCAAGCTATGTAAATGAATGAAATAGTGAAACGAGGTATGTGGAAGCTTGAAATAAGGTAACAGGACAAATAACAAGGAAGTTTCGGCATAAAGCCTTCCTCAGCCAACAATAGAAATGAAAATATAACAAAGAAAAGAACACAGTAGAAAACTCAAGCAGTATTCATTCGTCTCACCGCCTAAGAAGGCTTTATGCCGAAACGTCCTTGTTATTTGTCCTGTTACCTTATTTCAAGCTTCCACATACCTCGTTTCACTATTTCATTCATTTTGCAAAAATTATACAACCTGCTAGCAAATAGTTAAGTGCTTACTGCTTACTATCAATAAAAAATATTAAATGCACTAATTATTGTTAAAATATAGGCCTAACTCATATTTAAATCTATATTTTAGCATTATTTCAACATTTCGACCAAGCCTGTTTCCAATATTTTACTAGAAACTTCAGTTAGAGAGTTAATACAGAAAAATGAATGATACTGTAGTGCATTTTAATATGTATTTAATGCGAAGTTACCTGCTTGAAACCATGATCTTGTATGAAATGTGAAGAGAGCTTTACAAGAGAGTTTGGCCCACCGCACTCTCCCTCTACTAATCCTCTTCCTGCCATGGCTGGAAGGTAATATTCTGCAAAGAAAAATCGATTGAGTAAATTTGGCTTCATTAGCGGCTACGCGTACCCGGGTCCCTTTAAACTAAATGCTATTCAGATGTCATTAGTGGTAGTTTATTTTTGTTAAACCGACAAACTAAGTTTACAAACATCAGTCATATATTTTCAGGTTAGGTTTAGGTATAGATTTAGGGTTCAGGTTAGGTTTAGGGATACATTTGTGACATAAGTTCCCGGGTTGCGGCAACCAAAGTAAAAAAACGGTGTGCTATCTCTTCACATTTACCTTTTAAATATTTTTTAATAAACCCAAACTCTCACTTCTAATACTTGGTCCGACTAGCCACAGCCTAATTAAGTAATAGCCTAAATTACTCAAATTTAAATAATTCAAATTATTTACTATTACTATTACTAGTAAAATTATACTAGTAAATAATAATTAAATAATATAGTATTAATTTTAATATAAAATATAATACTTTGATAAGAAAATTAAATAATATAGTATTAATTATAATATAAAATATAATACTAACTACTAACTGACTTACTTAAAGTGTAGTTCTAGTTCTAGACTAGTTAACTCCACCCGCTACTATTTAGTATTTGTATGTTACAGTATGTATTATGTAGCCTTTCTTTAGCCTAGCATATGAAAACTCTGGTCTATTTCAACCATTTCTTAAGTATTACATTTAAGTTTGTACTACTTGTCCAGTAATTTATTTTCTGATGTACTGATAAGTAATCGTTGACTGTATAATTTTTTGCAATTTTTTTAAGTTAAAGGAGAAATTAAAAAGACGTACAAGAGTTAAGTCAGTATATTATGAACCTTGACCCTCAAGAAAGGACACTCTAATTACCAAGACTACACGATTAAGTGATATAATATAATAAATATATTATTTCATGATGAAAATGACACCAGTCATTAAAAGATAAGAAACCATTTTTTACTTTTGAATACGGTATTATCTTTAAGAATCTGGAATTGTATTTTTTTTTTAATTTTCAAGATTTAATTCACATTTAAATTTCCTTAGGTAGCTTGCGTTGAAACTTTATAAAGGTTATACAGTTGATCACTGTTTTGTCAACTCTTCTAGTGTTCTAGCCATTTCCGAGTCATAGAATTCTCTCCGAACTTGAAACATTAAATGAATCCATTTTATGGTTTTGTATGACTCACTAATACATTTTTGAAAACAATAATAATAAATAATAATAAAGTTCATTAAAAAAAAACCGCTTCATCCCTAATTAAGGCTCGAAGCGCGGTACAAAGTCAACCATACATGACAATTTATATTTTTCAACAAATAATAATAATAATAATAATAATAAAGTTCATTTCAAAAACACGCTTCATCCCCAAAGGCTCGAAGCGCGGTACAAAGTCAACGAAATACAAATCTATAATTTACCACATTTAAAACAAACGCAACACTACAAAAACTAATTACAAGCATACAATGGCAAAGTCTTTCTAGCCATTTCAACCCTAAGCAACACAGCCAATATGCATTAACTGGAAAATAAGGTTGACAATCATCCCAGAAGGTGTTTGCGAAATAGATGTGTCTTTAAAATACAAAACGCAACAATACAAAATCTACATCGAGGAATATGAGCAAGTTTGAAACAAAGAGGTAGACTACATCACCCCAGCAGGTGAGTGCGAAAAAGATGTGTTTTCAACTTAATTTTGAAAGACTGCAGTGTCTCGCTGTTTCTGAGAGCGACAGGAGGGGCGTTTCAGATTCTTGGGCCAGCAAAAGCGAAAGCACGCCTTCCGTAGGTCTCAAGGCGGACTCGCGATATCCAGAGTTTGCCACTATGGGATGAACATAGTGATCTAGTATGCACATAAAGCGTCATGAGCGTTTTGAGATAGGACGGCGCCAGGTCATGCAAGCAGCAGTAGCACAGAGTTGCTTTGTACTCCATGCGAGTGCGGACCTGCAGCCAATGCAACTCTCCCAGAAGTGTTTTAGCATGGTCGAATTTGCGTTTGCGCAGAACACTGCGAGCCACATTATTCTGTGCTTTTTGAATCTCATCCAGGATCGTAGCCGGAACACCCACCATGAGAGCATTACAGTAGTCCATACGTGATAGCACGAATGCGGACATCACATTAAACGTTAAGAAAGGTCTGATATGACTAATTCTGCGCAACTATAGACACTACCATTATAGCCTATATATATATCTATATATCTGACAGCATGCTGTATTTTTATTTTAAATTTCGATGCAAGAGTATTTAGCTTCATTTAGGTCATACGATGCTGTTTTTGGTGTAAGACTATTACCTTTCTCATTTGAAACGCTTAAAAAAAAGATTGTCTGAGTTTAGGCTTTGTCTATAATAGAGAAAACATATTTCCCCAATTTTCAAGCATGAAGACTTAAGAGTCCCGTCAAGGGTTGGTGAACCTTTTTGTGTTCATGTTGAAAGACCGCATTCAGGTGGTACCCAAACAAACACTACCGGACCGAAATGTACATTATTGATGGTATACATTTATATGTATTAAAAACGCACTAAAATGTAAAAAAAAAATATTGTTGCTGTTGCTTAGTACTTAGAACGTTCATAAAGTGCAAATATTGTTTAATTCGTTTGCCTACTGTGTTACCGCAACATACAGTACGTTTTACTGAAAACCCCTCCATTAAAAAAAAAATAATGATATACTTCAGAAACCGTAGTAATTTTAGGCTCGGCATAGTGCCGTAGTCCTAGGCTTAAAAACGACGTACTATGGTGAAAACATAGGGTAAACAGATCTGTATGTGGAAAAAAAAATCCATTTTTTAAAAAAAAAAGTTTTTGTTTTTCCTTCCATGTAAAAGTTTGAAAATAAATTTAACAATATCCATTTCAAAATGTATATTATGAAGCAAGCACGTGTCATGTCATAATTGATAATTAAATGTATGTTTGGTTTTCCTCACTTTCACATTTCAATCTTGGAGAATTTTCATAATAAAAACTCCCAATAAAGTCTTTATCTTAATGCCTTTGTTTTATTTGTTCACTTCGTTGAGCATTTCAAGAATATGAAAATGAAAAAATCAAATCCTAATTGAGTCTTAACAAAATATAACAAACTCTTTCCTTTCAAATATCAAGCATCAACATAATCAAGCACATCAATTAATTTCTCCGTCTTTGATAATTTAACAGATGCTGTTAATTAATTGATTGGTTATCATTTAAGTCATGAAATTAAATAAGACGTATGCATTTAACTATGATAACTCTTTGCCTTTGGGAATTCGAGAGTTTTTATTGCGACACTGGAAGAGCCACGAAGTTGTCTATAATAAGACTTTAAACAAAGTCCAAAAACAAAGTTTTCGTATATTAAAAAAATGCAGTATCGAGCAATGGGAAGTAAGACTGAAAATTTCCCAACACTTGCATACAAGTGACGTACTTTGTAGCAATCCCAAGTAGTGCACCCCCCCACCTTTTCGCCTTTTTTAAGGCTCGCAACCACACATTTCTTTTGTCCCCACCCCTGAAGTAGATGAAGTTTCAAATGAGCCACCTGCTTTTAAATCGCAGATTTACTTCAAACTTTTTTAAAGACCAGCAAAAGAAAATATTACGCACCAAACGTCCTTGCGATATCCCCCTTGTAAAACAGGTAAAAACTGATTTTTGGGGATTGGGGGTGGAGGGTTGGGCTGGAAATGTTAAAGAATGAGCTGTTATCATCAGCGAGTCTATGAGCCAAGTTTCATTTCAATAGGTTGACGGGAAGGGGGTCAATTAGCCGTTCGACGATTTTACCAACCAGCAAAAAACACGAACAAAAGCGAAGTTAATTTAAGAGATTCAATAAGGTCATCCTTAGGCGAGCCACGGTTGTTGGTAGGTTTCAGTAAAGAAATAACGCTTAAAATGAGAGGAAGAGAGAGAGAGAGAGAGAGAGAGAGAGAGAGAGAGAGAGAGAGAGAGAGAGAGAGAGCGTGTGAGAGAGAGAGAGAGAGAGAGAGAGAGAGCGTGTGAGAGAGAGAGAGAGAGCTGCCCTAGTTTCTGACCCACCTTGACCCATACCGAGGTCGCCTATGACGTATACTAGTATAATAGGTCCATAGGTCAAAGGTTACATAATTTTTAGGTTGCATTGATTTGTTCTGACAAGTAGATTGCGTGCTATTTTCGGTCACAAGTTTTAGTCAGCTGTTACTTCTAATAACTTCTACTTCTGGTAAATTCACAAATATTTACCGGTCATTACCTGTAAAAGAGAGGCAATCGTGTAATTCCAAATTATCTAGCAGGGAGACAAAAGCTACGGCAGTTAGTTCCCTTTGATAAGAAAATTAAATAACTATTATAACATTTATTTCTTTATAGAAGAACAACATATTTTTAAAGCAATTAAATAAAGTTATATAATCTTAAAACAAGGACTTGAATAGGTTAATTTGTAATGATGACTTTCAAGAAATGAAGGAATTCAAAAAGCCTAAGTTTACTTAATTTTTTTAATTTAAAAATAATAATAATGGAAATATTACCACTCCCAAAGGATTATTCAATATTATTCACCATTGCCTGTGGCAACATTGATGAGCATGATAATGATAAATCAACATGAATATCACAAATGAAGGAATTGAATAAATCTAGGGTTCCAAATTTTATTTTTGAAAAAAAATAAAATAATAATGGTATAAATATTACCAATCCATTAGTTTTTCTTCCACAAAACCGTTTATATTTGACTAGCCTTAATTGAAATGTAAATTTTTGGAAATATTGGACAAGTAGGTCATTACGAACCTGTGAGCCATTTTTGCAAGTATTAGTCAAATAACATACTATGACAGCAAGACGTCGAGCAATAATGAATATCAGGGACAGACAGTCTGACTTCTGGTATAGATGATCGAAAACCTCATTTACTTTCGGCCATCTGGCCGCAAGTCTCAATCACTTTCAGCCGAAACCAAAATTAAACCGAAAGTGATCAAATGGAAACTTTCGACGCCGAAACCGGAGCCGAAATTCGGTCGGTCTCTACAGTTAAAGGTGATATAAATAATGGTTACACCAGTTATCAAATTAATGAGTTTTGCAAACTTAATAAAAAGTTAATACCATCTGTTAATTGTCTCTTCAAATTATCTGATAAGTTTCACTGTTATTCTATGTTCCTAAGTATAAGTAACCACTTGTTAATTGTAATAAATATCCTTTTGTGTGTGTGAACCAATGACTAAAGTAAGCACTGAGAACAGCTACTACTACTTTGTTCTGATTCTTTGATAAGGTTCAGCTTCAGATTTTCCTGTGCGATGAGATGATCACGACTGGGTGGGATTATGTTAAATATAAGGTGGACAGTCGACGAGATGATCACGGCTGGGTGGGATTATGTTAAATATAAGGTGGACAATCGACGAGATGATCACGGCTGGGTGGGATTATGTTAAATATAAGGTGGACAATCGACGAGATGATCACGGCTGGGTGGGATTATGTTAAATATAAGGTGGACAGTCGATGAGATGATCACGGCTGGGTGGGATTATGTCAAATATAAGGTGGACAGTCGATGAGATGATCACGGCTGGGTGGGATTATGTTAAATATAAGGAGGACAGTAGTTTTCCGCCCTTAATTAACCAAATTATGTGGTCACAACCAGTCCAGACAGTAGAAGGGCCCTAATTGTGATCAAATTATTACAGCTATAATTTTAGCCCTTTGTGAATTTATTTCAG